ATAAGCAAGCACAACAAACACACACGAAAGGTAGGCACATGAGGGGGGGGGTAGCATATATATATATATATATATATATACATGTGATGCTTTAATACCACTGGGACTTCGACGAGGAGGTAGCCGTAGGCGACCTGATGCAGTAGGAACTTCACGAGGACGGCCAGGGAGACCAGGGGAAAAACGCCTGAGTCGAAGGCTCAGGACTTGGGGTTTCGGCTCTCACACTCGGACAAGGGGTTTAGCGTGTTAAGGCCCAGCGGTTTAGGAGTTTAGGGTTCAGAGATTTGGGGTTTAGAGCGCAGGGGGTTTATAAGTTATAAGGCTTTAGGGTTTAGTTTGTGAAGCTGGTACTGGCAGCGAGAACAGGGACAACCCGAATGGCAACGACACTATCCAAAAGAAAAAGCATTCCTCAGAACCCTGAAACTGATTCGTGCTGAACCTTGCCGGGTCCATGTTTAACGCTGGGCTTCGGGATTCGGATTTCAGGGTTTAGGGTTTGGGAATTGGCAGAAAGGGGTTTAGGGATTCGGATTTAGGGGTTTAGGGTTTAGGGATTAGCAGAAAGAAGCGGTTTAGGGATTATAGGATTTAGGGTTTAGGGGCCCATGACTTGCTCAAACTCGCACCTTGCGACAGCCCTGCCCGAGAACAGCCACCTGCATCCTAAGGATGTGCCAGATGTCCCCGCCGAAGACCGATTAACCAGAATTTGGGGACCTTAAGAATTAGAAGCGGGTTGTGGGGCCCATTCTACTATAATTATAATTAGGAGCCCCCCAAAATAGCATAGGTAACTATTTTAGGCCCCTACCGTAAGTTAGGGCCGACCTGTATTCTGGGTCTAGGAGCCGGACACGGGACTGTAGACACATCAGAGTGGGTACCCCAAGCCCTTTACAGTGATTCAGGGTCTAATTCGACATTTAAGGGTTCTCTATAAGGGTTACGATAGAGGGTCATAGGCAGGGCTTAGTACATAGGCGACCTTTGCAATTTTAATAGGGTCCTGGGCCCTCTTTATACTATGTCCATGGTTTAGGGTTTAGGGTTTAGGGTTTAGGGTTTTTTTTTTAAAGTGCAATAGCCCCTTTCTCCGCCTGAAGCCTGCCCAATGTGGGCCTGCACTGTAAGTGCCATGAGCCTTATCCTCACAGCAAAAGAAGCAAGAGTTGGAATCAAATCTCTGCTCATCGTCAAACATCAAAGCGACCATTCACTACTCATTACTCATCCATACTACGACCGCGATCAGGGCGTCTACTAGCTGATGCTTCAGAAGAGGCCGTCGCTCGCACATCAGAGGAGGAAGAAGAACCACCAGATTCATCATGGCCCCCATCATCTCCCTCAGTCCCCTCCACCGCACCGTTGTCAACTTCAAGGAGAGACATCTCATTTCCACCTTGCATTGCTTCATCATCGTCACCAGCCACTCCTCCAAGAGGAACTAGAGTGCCAACCGACGGGTCCATGAAGTCCATATGAGACGTGGGTCCTTCACGAAGCACTGGGGGTGGTCGTAGAACATGATCACGACGTCGATGATGTACTCCCGAACGACCAGGAAGACGACGTGGCTGCGGTAGACCAGGAGGAAGTTCAGGTTCCAACGTGTCATCTGCCATGATGAGATAGAGTTCTCTGTCACCCTCAGCTGCCCAACGCCCTCTTGGATTCCCTCTGCCGGCTTCACGGTGAAGGGCTTCCGCATGGTGTTGCCAGGTGCGCCTTCTTAGCCCCACCACCGTATGAGGTTTCTCTCTGGGCAGCGCTGCCATGAGATCTTCCACATTGCCCGGAAGTCCCGGACGAAGCAGAGCACATAGCGACCGAACAACCTGTGTGGTAGGCGTCTGCGATGGTCCGTCCCCGAACCCAGCTTCCCGGGCTATGGCCTCCCAGATGTCTGCCTCCATGGTGGGCCCATTGAAGACAACCGAGGAGGGCCTTCCATTAAGCCACGGTAAGGTCTCCTCAATGGCCACGTTCAAAAGCCGTTGGTAGTGGTGAAGTCGCCTTTGCCGCGCTAGGAGGCGGTGGAGGACATCGATCACGTCGGCCCTGTTAGCCACCATCATTGCCCGATTTACCGTGTCCCTGACGACCTCCGATGGCAACAGCTGTGACGTCGAGGTGGTGGCAGATGACCAACTCCACTGGCCGACCACCCCATTCCAAGGATCATCCCCACATGTCCAGCCCGACTTCGCACCACATGTAGAGGAACAGGACAAGGAAGAGCTGCTCGAAGAAGGTGTCAAGATAGAGCCAGCATTTCCATCCAGAAGGTCACCCCCAGAGGTGGCAGTGGTAGAGGACGTAGACAACGGCGCCGAAGGTTTGCTGTCCAAAAGATCACCCACCGAGACTGCATTGGTAGAGGACGTAGACGACGGCGCCAAAGGTGCACTCCCAACCTGAAGGTCACCCACCAAGGCTGCAGTGGTTGAGAGCGTAGACGAAGGTGCCGAAGGTTCGCTTCCATCTTGGAGGTCACCCTCCCATCCCAGGCTGTAGTGGTCAAGGACGTGGACGACGGTGCCGCAGGTTCACTCCACACCCCCAAAAGTTCACCATCAAGAGCACGCAGCACTTGGGGTCCAAGCTCCGCAGTCGGGGCAAGCGTCTCTTGCGGACGCAATACTGGCGGTCCTGTTGGCGATCTGGAGCGGTTCCTGATCCTGACACTCGGTGAGTCCGAAGAGGATGATGCAGCAGACGGAGAGCGTGCTTCTTGTTGAGGTAGCGGAGCTGTTGGCATGACTGGTGGGCGAAGAGCCGCTTGGTTGGGCCGTCGATCCCCTGAGCCACTGGACGCGGCGGCAGTCGCCAGAGGAGGGACCGGAGGGGCAACATTGGGCGGCCTCGGCGGCGAGTCAAGTCGCTCGCTGTTCTGGAGTGGTGTGCCAAGATGGCGCTCCAAGGTGGTTGTAAATATGTCTGTGTACTGGCGAATCCACGAGAAACGTCTCCATTGCTCCAGTTCTTCGCGAGGTACACGGATGATGGGCCACACACCACGAGGCCGAAGTCGACGAATGAGGATCTCCATCAGACAGTCCATGGCGTTCATGCCTTCTTCCACCCTCTGTAGAAGTCTGGAAAGGGCCCATCTTACTTCCGGGCCTTCATCGGCAGCACTGTAGTCGTCCATGGCCAGGAGGAGGTGCTCGACTCGATCTGCAGCTGAGTTGGAAAGTCCCCCCTCGAGGAGACGCGCTCTTTCAGCCGCGGTGAGCTGCATGAGGCCATTCCATTCCACATCAATGGGAGGGGTCTCTCCATTACCAGCTGGTGACATGAGGGAGGAGGCCATAGTTCGGCGGGAACTCGACGATCACGGTTGTGGATGAAGAAGTAGTCATAGTCCAGCTCCACGACCTCGTTGGCGACCAGGACGATGACCATCCATTGTTGGTTTCGTGCCACCCATTCCATCCAGTAGTGTCCTCCCATCCTTGCCACCACTGTGTGCCTTGCCATGGATCAGGGTCTGTAAGGTTGGAGGGTTCGGCGGGCGCATCGGCGAGGGGAGGGATGGTTTGTTCAACGACCTTGCCGTCATAATAGTTATCATCCTCCTGAGCAACAACGTTGGGCGAGGTGTTTTCCATTGTGGGCATCGTTTTCTGGATGTCACCCCCGGAGTTCACCCTCTGGTTCTTCTCCTCGATGTACCGCTCCAGCCACGCAGGTTTCCAGTTTCCAGCCCAGTATGCTGCCATCCGGTTTTGTTTACGGAGTGTGCGTTGCGGTCCCATGCCACCACGATGTGCTCGTTGTTCGGCTGCGGTGCGTGCGCGTGGCACCCACTGTCCATGTTGCCAGAAACCAGTCGAGGTCTGCGATGAGTTCGAGGAGGAGGCCACGCCACTTGTCTCGTTCTCTTCTGCTTCCGGCCAGGAGGAATCACCCGCTGTTGTAGAATCGGCTGATTGCACATCACCCCCACACCGAACCTGGAAGGACTGGCCGTAGAAGGTCTCAACGACCAACGTCTTCTCTCCTCCATGCTCACCTGTGCCGACAACCGAGAAAGGTGCCTGCTCATGTTCGTCAACACTCCCCTGATCCGGCACGTCAGACGTTCCCAGGGAGGGTTCATTGGAGGCAGGGGACGACGGATGCTGTGGTGCACTAGTAGCCTCCCTCTGGGCCCTTTCCGCCTCCAAGCGTTCCTTGAGCCTGCTACGTACCGTGCCGTCCGGGTTGTGCCAGCGATCGACACCATGGCTGAGACGCCCCCCACGCAGGATGCTCGGAGCCTTGGGCGAAGTCAAGGTTGCAGGGTCACGAGGACCAGGGTGTCTTCCACGTCCACGAAGTTGACGTTTGTCGATGACCAAGTCGAGCCAGTCTGGAAGAGGTGGAGCTGCATTTTCGGCTGGTTGCCCGGCTGCGAGACCAAAGGGGACTGGCATGTTCTCGGGAATGGGCGCGAGGTGGCGACTTTCGGCAGGGTTTAGGGTTTAGGGTCAAGTCACCCGAAGGAATTCAATAGGTTGTTCTTCAGGCCCCCCTTATT